GGGGGGGAGACACGACGAGCGATGGGGGTGGATGCCGCTGTGCACTAGACGAAGGTAAAAGTGGTGGTGGGGTGGCAGAGATCGAAGAATCGGGCTACTTTCGTTGTTTGCGCAGTAATTCTGATTGGTTAGGCGACTGGGAAAAAAGACACAGGCCAGCGTGGGTTTTACGGGATTTTCCTACACATCTGTCTCTACTTCTGAGAAGTATAACTGTCAATTTTCCGGACCCCAACTAGCAACATGAGATTGCATTATTTATCACCTGCTACGGTTTGCGACGCTCGAGTCCTGTACAGTGCCGTTTTTGGCTCGGCGTGCAGGCGTTCGAGGCGCTCGTCCGGGACTTCGAGAAGCGCGGCCAACAGCTGCTGTTCCTTGACGTGGACCCCGAGGTGCGCGACCTGCTCCACCGGGCGGGCCTCTACAACTCCATCAGCTTCTGCGAGGAAGAGGACGACCTCCCCGCCATGCTCTTCGGTGAGTGTGCCACACGAATCAATGTCAGGAAAGGCGGGGTTCGGCGAGAGAAAGAACCGATATTTGTTTCGCCTGTCACGTGACGCCGCCGCTGGGCGGGCTGCTAAACGCCCCTCGCGCACGTGCGGCACGTGCATCTCTCTCCTGGCTGTCGATGCCGGCTGCCGGGAGGGTCGCTGGCGGCCCCGAGCGCCCGCCCCAGCTGGCTGCAATTACTGAAGGGAAACGCATGATATAAGACTTGTAATTGCAGCCGGGCAGGCCAGGCACGTAGCATTGGCGGCGCGTGGCGGCGCGTGGCGGCGCGGCGGGGTAGGGGTGCGGCCCGACCTTGCAGCCCGGGGCCCCCTGCGGTCCAGCCCAGCATCCCAAAACGTTTCCAAAGGGGGCGGGTTTGTGGGTCTGCGTTCTGATCTGCCCGGGCCGGCCGGCTGCTGCTGCGGTCCAGGCGAGCGCGCGGTGGTTTGGCCCGTGGCGCCATCTGTGGAGCCGCGGCGCTGGCGCCCCACCGGCCGGGAGTAGCGTCAGGAGAAGCGGGGAGTATCGCGGCGGCTGAGTGAGAGATCGACGGGCGTCAAGCAATGAAGGTTCTCACGCCATTCACGTCGTGACGATTGAGTCGTTGCCTTGCGATATGCGACTACCGGTGGTGGTACAAAATGTAAAACACACACACATATAGCCACTTGAATCACCAGCGGGTGCGTCTCGTGTGTCGTCGTGTTGCAGGAGAGTCGCTGCTGCGCTCCGGCCAGGACGGCGACGACGACGAGCAGAGCGAGGAGCGCACCGAGCCCGCCGCCTCGGCGCTCATCCCGCTCAACGTTTGGGAGGAGGCGCCCACTGGCGGAGACCGGCCGCAGCTCACCCAGCGCGCGGCTAGCGTGCCCAGCTGAGGACGGGCGCGTCTGAATCTCACTGCCGTGGTCATGTGTGTGTGTGTGTGTGTGTGTGTTTGTTTGTGTTTGTGTGTGTGAGAGAGAGGTAGACAGGCAGACAGGTAGCTGACAGATAGACAGACAGACAGACAGACGGACAGACAGAGGACCAGAGAGAGATAGGTACTGCCATCAAAAGTATGGCGGGTTGGTTAATGAAACCGAGGGTGAAAGGATGAAAAGCTAATTTAATACATATCAATAAAATAAATACATCGACTTCTTTGTTTTGTACTTGCTATTATTAAACCCGTGCTGGAGTGCACGTTGTTTCTTGAGAGAGGAAGAGATACTAGTTTTTTGACGCGATCAACGCAAACAAGCAAAACATCCTAAGGTCCTATCTATCATCGACAATAAAACACAAAGCGCAGCTCTGCGTCGTTCATATCACAAATATGTATATCGCATGGAACACGTGTAGAAAAATAAATAATGGAACTTAACTCTATCACCCGTGAAACGGTCGTTGGTTCCGGTGTTCGGGAAGCCCGCTGTCACCGGATGACGCCACTGGTTTACACTGGGCTCCAGGTGGGTTTGTCCGCCGGGCGGCGTGGTCCCCCCACGTATGGCCACATTGTGGCCCGGCAGGCGACACGCTACGCGTTCTTCACGGCGGTCCTCCCGCCCAGCAGCCCCGTGCTGAAGGCCTTCTTGGCCTTGACCACGGCCGGCATCGCCTCCTGCTCCCCCTGCTCGGCGCCGTCCTGCTGCTGCCGCTGCTGCTCCAGGGCCAGCCTGAAGGGGTCCTCGTCGCTCTCGGTGATGGTCGGGGTGCCGCACTGGAAGGAGGCGCCCAGGCCGCTGAGCGCGCCCAGCCCGTGGCTCAGCCCGCTCAGCGTCAGCGGGCTCCGGGGGCTGCCGACCGCCGGCGCGCCGCCGCCCAGCCCGCTGCCGGGGCTGGAGCCGAACTCGTCCAGGTCGTCGTGGAGGTCGTCCTCCGGGACGGTGATGGGGGTGGCGCCGTCGTACAGGGAGGTCCTGCGGACACGTGGCAATGAGCACACACGGCACAATCCTTTGCTGACGCTACCGTTAACGCTCGGGTGCCCAGCCGTTCCAGGGCGGGACTGGAAACCCCATCCTTCCATTGTGACTTAGGCGAGTGAAATAATTCGGCCGTGCTCCTTCCTATCAAGGATATTCCTTCGATAATAATTAGTTTGAAAGAAAGCTACGAATCCTCCTTAAGTTGTCGCCATGAATACGCACGCATTCCAAAATCTTAATCGTGGGTGAAATGATTCACAGAAGTTTAAAAATCCTCACGAGTTTCTCGGGTAGATATTTCACAGTCTTTTTTCCAATCGAGTATTTCGGTTATGATCCATTGCGCTCCTCATATTCCAGTCCAGAGCGCCATGGCGGCACCCAAAAGAATTTACTCCGTAAAGTTATTCCAGGGAGTTCCGGGGTGGCGCCGCCCACATTTGTCCCGAGATATTCCAAGGATTCCAAGGTTACGGGTCCAGGGCGTGGCGACCTACCGGGAGAGCGAGCGCTGGTACTGCACGCGCGACACGGAGCGCACGAAGGAGAGCCGGCGCGAAAGCGTGCGCTTGAGGGAGAGCTTCTCCTTGAGCTCGGTGGGCGTGACGGGCTTGCGGATGACCGGCGAGAGCGGCACCTCGTCCAGCAGGTCCGTGGCGTGCTCCGAAATGACCTCCCAGGCGTGCTCTGGAAAGAGATAGAGTATGAAACATGGTCTACCTCGAGGGGTCCTTCGCCATTAAAAGATAGATAGAATATATCATCTATGTATGAAACCATTTTTTTCTGGTTTTTTTTGGGGGGGGGGGGGGGTGATAGATTTTTTTCGTTAAGGACCTCCTAATGTACGTCGGTAAGACACGAATCATTGCCGGTGGGCAGCGTGCGAGTGGCTTACCTATGTCGGCGTCGCATGCGCTCTCCGCCACGACACAGAAGCGGAGCACGTACTTGCCCCGCACCATGGACGGGATCATGTGCAGCTTGCCCGAGGCGTTGATGGTGGCCAGCAGCTGCTGGTTGAGGCGGTCCGTGCCGCGAAGCCGGAAGCACACCAGGCCCAGCTGCAAGAGTGAGCGGCCGAGTTAAAGGGCTGTCCGAAACAAGGTGGAGTAACGGAGCTGCATGGCGCGGGTCTACCGGAGCGCCTGGTGGGTAGGCAACCGCGAAACACTGCTGTGCGACGGGTCTGCCTACACTCACAGGGGATCTCCCTCTCCTGGGTAACTGGCAGTAGGTGAGAGAGAGAGAGAGAGAGAGAGAGAGAGAGAGAGAGAGAGAGAGAGAGAACTAGCCACTGTACGGAATCACCCTGCAGTCTGCCGGGTGCTCCTCACCTTGACGTCATTGCAGACCTCGAAGCGATGGTCGTCGCGGACCAGCGCCTCAAAGCTCTTGGCCAGCCTGATGTGGTTGCGCACGTACTTCTGCAGGCCCTGGATGCCGTAGCGCCGCAGCACGAACCACAGCTTGAGCGCGCGAAAGCGCCGGCTCAGCGGGATGCCCCAGTGTCGGTAGTCGATGGTCTCGTCCATGTTGGAGTGCTGCAGGTAGAGCGGGTCGACGATGAGGCCGGCCGTGAGGCGGCGCCGGTCGCGCACCCACAGGCACGAGCAGTCGAAGGAGGTGAGCAGCCACTTGTTGGGGTTGGTGTTGAAGGAGTCGGCGTACTGGATGCCCTTCATGTGCTCGCGCAGCTCGGGGCAGATGAAGCCGTTGCCGGCGTACGCGCCGTCCACGTGCAGCCAGACGTCCTGGTGGCGCCGCACCACGGGGCCGATCTCGACGAGGTTGTCGAACGAGCAGCACGACGTGGTGCCGAGCGTGGTGGACACGAAGAAGGGCACGAGGCCGCGGCGGATGTCGTCGTCCATGGCCTTGGCCAGCGTGGCGCCGCGCAGCGAGCTGTGCTCGTCGGGCTCCAGGATGCGCAGCCTCACCAGGGCGATCCGGGCCGCCTTCTCGACGCACGAGTGCGACTCCTTGGAGCAGTAGGCGACCAGCCGCGGCAGGTAGGTGCTGTCGGTGGCCGTCTCCTCGCCCACCTGCTCGTCGTCGAGCAGGCCGTCGCCCTCGTCCAGCAAGGCCTCGATGGTGGTCGTCGGCGACCCCGGCGGCCGCTCGGCCCGCCGCAGCCTGCGGATGGTGTGAGCCCTGGCCGCCAGCATGGACACCAGGATGCACTCGCTGGCCGAGCCCTGGATGACGCCGCCGCCGGAACCGCTGCTCAGGAAGTCGTCCGGGAGCCCCAACGACTTGCCTGCCGAGTAAAGTTGCGTCAGATCAAATTGTTCCGTGTTCTCACAGTGAGAAAAGCTTGTAACGGTTAGGGAGAAATTTTCAACATTTTTTGTTGTAAAATTACTAGTCGAAAACCGACCTTCTATTCATTCGCGAGGACAACAAATTTTATAAATCGAAAACACAAAATGTGTTTTCAATTGACGAGGATATTTTTCGCAGTGTTCTCAAGCTAGAATCTGTCTCAAATCTCGCGGTATGCTTACCCAACCAGTCAGTGACGATCGTCTCGAGCTCCGTGCAGGCGGGGCTGGCGGCCTGTAAGCAGAACGGCACGTGAGCGACAGAGCAAGCGCACGCACGCACGCCACGGGTCGCGGGTCCAGGGACCGAGGGACCGCGGTCATGGCCACGCGACAAGCGGGACGGGGGGCCGTCTTACCCAGGAGAAGCCGATGCAGCCGATGGCGTCTGAGAGCATGTCGCCGAGAATCGAGGGGTACGAGTTTCCCGACGGAAAGTAGGCGTGGAATTGGGGGTGCTGCCAGTGGGTGATCTGCAACAAGCGAGCCGCCATGGTGATTATTATTTGTTTATGTTAATTTACCTATTGTTTTTTTTTTTGTTTTTTTTTTTCATTTCCAAGTACTTACGCCGGGCATGATTTTCGACTCGACGTCGGCGAAGATCTGGTCCCAGGAGTCGGGCTGCTGCGGCGCCTCGGCGGGCAGCAGCGGCCGCAGGTAGCCGGGCTCCACGTCGGACGTGACGCGGCGCTTGCCGACGCCCTCCATGTAGCTGCAGATGTACTCCACCATCTCCTGGCCGCGCACTCGGAACTCGGCGGCGTCCATCGTGCGTATGTATGTGTTGTTAACCTGTCGTGATGAGAGAGTGTCTGTAAGCTGGCAGTAATTACACGGCAGCGAGTACAGTCCAAAACGTTCCACTGTGAAAAAAAAGTAGGTATGTTTACAGAAAAATTTTCCTTGACGCAAATTGTAAAATTAAAATTTGTAATCGTAAAAATACATGCAGTATGTATAGACTACAAATCCATTGGCTAGTAAAAATGTGCTCTCGTAAATTTACAACTTAAATTATAATTCGAGTTTAAAAATTTTTTGTAAATTAACGACAGCATTTTTCAGTGTCGCGCCGCGCAGAGCACCGGGGGGGGAGGGGGGGGGGAGGAATGGGACAACTATTTCTGTTTTGGGATCGGCCCCCCAATCAACGTTTGTGGAATTACTGTTGGTACGTAGTGGATGAGTAGGGCCTCGAGTAAAGGGAAGTGCGTGGTTGCGGCGTCCGAAGAGGGGAGGGAGAGCGAAGAGAATAATCATTTCCATCCAGAGTTAAACCGGCGCGAAAAATTGAGAAGTCTGGCGCGCGGGGGAAAGGAGAGAAGGGAGGGGAGCGGGCTTGGTGGCGGGGAACTTGGAGTGTTAATTAAATGATCTAACACAATAGGCATGATTTGCCCCCTCCCCCGCTCCTCACCCATCCTCCTTTTCCCAATCTACCTCTTCTCCCCGTCCATCTCTTGGTGCCCGGCTGCTGCGATGCCGTGACTCCTGCTGCTTGCGCCGCGTTTTGGAATATCGCTCCTGTACTTAGAAACGAAAGTACCCGCAAGAGTGTGACTTGCTGTTGACTCGCTGCGGTCCATAGGTCGTTGGCGTCGGAAGAAAGTCGATGACAATGCCGAGGTGGGCGGTGGCGGAGCTTGGCGCCTGTAGAAAGGGGGTGGGGGAAAGCCGTGTAGAACGCGCTTCTTCTATTTCGATCGCCAATGACTGTTTCCGTACTCGTCTCGTATATGTACGCAAGCACCTTCACCTTCCATTTTAGCTTTGCGCCGGGGCAAAATGCAGACAGGACTGGGATTCCCATCGAGATTACATGGTCCAGGTGGGCACTCTCAGCCGGACGATGTGCTTGACTGGAGACACGGCACGGGCGAACCGTAGAGGACACGGGCATAGATTTTCTCATTTTCGATTTCTCTTTTTCCTTTTTTATGGGCACAACGTTTCATTTTTTAGAAAAACGTATAGAAGATCGTGGTGATGTCCAAATGACCGCAAACGACATCACCGCTTTGTTGACCATAAGGTTTTCTGCAACGTTTTCACGCCATTTCCATGACAACCCGTAAGGGCTTATATGACATCACTCCACGCTTTGTTGTGCCACGGGGCACGAGCCGTGCCCGTGACCCTGGCATTCGCGGAGGGGCAAATATTGGCTCTGGTTTACTCACTCACTCGGCAGTGTCGACCGCGAGAAAACGTTCTGCCGACTGCAATATATTTTCTTCTCGGTTTTACTTGCACAACTTGTGCATGCATGTGTACGTCAGATGCTTTTTACTTTTCCAGCAACTGACGTGCCTTTGGAAAGCAGCAAAAGTTGCACACTGGAAACGCAAGTGTGTGAATGTCACACACTTGTAGGTGTGGTAATGCCCATTCACTTACTTAAGGTGTTTTCCTTTGAAAATTACACGCTTGTTTCTCCATGTGTACGAATGTCCTTCCACACACCTACAAGTATGCGACATTCACACACTTGTGATGCACTGTGATTGCAGATTGCTAGATAGTCCCTTCGCTCGATCGTCGCACTTATTTTCACACTTCTCTGTGCACAACTTGATGCACTGCGCTGCACTTACCTTCCCTACGTCCACAATAAGGTATCGCGGTCCTCGTCCCTCTCCCTTCTGATTGCCCCGACACACACACACACACACGCGCACGCACGCGCACACTGGCCCGGCTCGAATCGTTCTCCGCTGGGCGCGACTCGACTCGACTCCTGAGCTCCCTCTCTCTCACCGCGCGTCTGTAGACTGACGCCGCGCACCTCGCCGGCTTGCTTATATCACATGCGGCGTTGGGTTGGCCGGCCTGGCCGGCCCGGGCCGTGTAGGGGGCGTGAGGGGGTACAAATATCACGGCCCCCTAAGAGGGTTCTAGACCATCACATGCCGTTATTGGCTCGTTATGTTGCACCCCGGGGTATATAAATATCGTGGGGTCGCCATAAGATCATATGCAATTTGTGGTGGCCACCGGTGGGAACAGATATTGCTCCTTCATAAGGTCATCTACCACCATTTCTGACAAATTTGTACGCAAAAGTGCATGATTTCGGACAAATTAAATGATTGCTAACAAATGTTCAAATCAACGAAGAAATGTGTGCTAAAAATTTGATTGCTAAAATTTGTTTAAATAAGACAACGGGTCTCAATCCTTTGCACTTCTGTAAAGCATTGCTTTGCAGGAATTGAATTTAAAAATGTAGAATAGTAAATATAACACACCACATCACTGAAAACCTCACATATTATCACACATATATGTATGAACTAGTACCCTGGTGGGTTTGTATTTGTAATGTATTATATGACACCAAGAGCGTAGAGAGCGACTCCTCTCTCTAAGTGGACAAATCACGAAGAGTGGTCTGTAATTTTGGGGAAGCATAGACATCCAGTTCCTTAACCCGGCCTCACGTTGACGTTACGCTGTGGTACTGCTTGCATACTACACTGTATAAAATAGGTGTAACTGACAGTTGAGGTTATACAGCCGTTGAGAAACAAGGAAAATTGTTTTTGTGTAAATTAAACAGTGAACCAGTAAAAACTCTTCCTTTTTGTCAAATGTCAAAATTGTCATCTTTTAAAAAAAGACTTGTACGTGTTCTTGAACAAACCGAGAAGGTACCCGACGCAAAAAGATTTGTTTGCTTTTGATATGCTTTCGGTACGCTATCGGTTCGCGGAGCTAATATTAGTACCTATCACAAATCCAGCTAATACCGGGGGTGTCCAGGCTTAGACATGCCAGTAGGTTGGGTTGCCCATGCACTGGCTGCAAGGGTATCAGGCGCGGGACGGGTGGCGCGGAAGTGGCAGCTCCCCCACCACTCCTCCGCCCGCGGCAGTACCTACTGACTGACCAGCCACTTTCGATTTTCTATCGAATTTCAATTCGCGTAAAAAATTGCCACTTAAAGTAAGAAGGTACCTTACTTTTAACAGATTTTTGAGCTATAGTTGTTTGAGATTTTCTGTACATCAGACATGCCGTGCAATCTTACCAACACTGATACCATCATGAATTATGTTCAAATGGGCAATGTGTCAATTTTTTTTCAGCATTTAAATACTGTTAAAAATATATGAGATTGCCACTGTCCCAATGTGCCCCACCTTCCCTGATGTGTTTTGTGTGTGTCTTTTGTTTGTTTTTGGAATTGTTGTACCACAACAAATTGGTGTCGTTTAAACAACAAGAGTGACTGGAAAGCTTAACATGTTAATTTCACAGTTTTTTTTACAGTGTATGTCGTACCCATAGCACCTGTTAAATACAAACAATTTGTACTTTTTTGAAACTGGTGTTCGATCGGTCTTAATGATCGCTGCATATTTATGATCGATATCTCGACATTAAAGATGAACCCACCAATCACGGCTGGAATGTATGACGCGTCAGGCGACGACCTGGCCAGTGCTGTAACAGGTTCGCACGGGAGATCCCCCTTTTTCGAACAACGACAAAAGGCTAAACCAGATGAGCTGCATTTGACGTCACAAAAGAGCAGTTTAGTTGACCAGAATAAACTAGCTGTCTACTGCTCACTGCTCGCGAAGAGGCCGTCAGAATCCCTTAGTAAGTTCAGTTACCACCGCAGGGTCTGGTGGACGAGCCAAGCGCGCATGTAATAAACGGTGGTTTCCGACAGATAGTTCACACAAATTTTTGATATCCACCGTCAGATGTTCGATCCGTGCGGGTTAGAGTGGCCATCGAATTAAGTTTCTCTAACCAAAAGTTTAGTTCCTCCTGTAACTAAAAACATGATGCTTATTACTTACCCGACGGATCGAACATTTTTTAATTGGCTGGGACCAAACATTTCTTACAGCGTTGGCTAGCTGGTTTCATCAGAGGCAGATCAACGCCCCACCACCGCAGACGCACTAATTTGACAGATCGCCTCTCTTCATCTAGTGACACAACATTAATGCGGTCGCTGTTTCAGTTCCATGTCAGTCCAATTCGGACGCCTCCCATTTTAATGACCCGTACGTGTCAGTACCGGCAGTGCGATGGCGACCGCCAGAGCGTTACTGCTGTGCCTACTACTTTCCGACGCTCTTCCACGGCACAGCAACGGGGCACACTTGGCGGTAAGAACGTGCGCATCAGAATGGTGGTCACTAACTGAAAGACGGCGAACCAATAGGACTGAAGACTTGTCGTGAATTGGATTTATTTGTTGTGCCTAGGTCGGACGGCCCTCTGCAATGCTTGATATCCGAGAGATGAGACTGTGTCCAGATCAGAAAGGCGTTGCGATGGTGTATTTGAATGTATCGACTACCTCTCTCGGGAAGTCTCACCAGACTTACTTTAAAGGGATCGCTCTGTTCGACAGACCGGCGGCGTCCTGGACGGAGGTAAGAAACTGCAAGAGCTGCGCTCCGTGCGAACGGTCGACTCCATTCCTCCTCACAGTTAAGACCTCGCAATTGTAAGCCATTTGCTTTGCAACTGCAAAGCATTGCTTCGCAATTGCAAAGGATTTGGCATTTGCTTTGCAAGGTTTAATTGTGCTGCCACCTCTTTCGATAATAACGCTGCTCTTTACAGACTAGCGTCAAGTTCACCAAGTGCCGCGGCGGAGTCTCTCCAAACAATTGCGAGTATTTCGCTAACTGGGAAAAGAAGCAGAGCAACGTTTGTGCAGATTACGCCTCCCCCCTCACGCCGTGGTACACCCTCATCAAGTCCATAACGCCACCGTTTGTGTGCCCCATCAAAGCTGTACGTACATCACTTTATAAACATCCATCTTGCGTTTTTGTTGCATTACCCTTTAACACATTCACTCTAAATCCTAATGCACTTTGTTATACATAAAACTTGTAGAATTTCATAGAACCATAATATTATGCACAATTTTATGCATAACAATGAACAGTGTGTGCATAATTATGCACAATTTGTACACAATTATGCATAAAAATTTGTGCATACTTTTGGCTGAGAAATATTCTGCAAGTTTATGCACAACAAAATGTGTGTTCGGCGTGACCCCAATGTGGTCACCCTGTGCTGGGCTCTCCTTAACCCCGCGATGCACTGCCGCACCATGCGTTTGGGACTACTCTCCGGTAAATGCGTTTCTTTTTGCTGTTTTTAGGGAGTATACAGCTTCAACAACGCCACTCTGGACTCGACGTCGTACGCTACACTAGCAGGATCTTATGTGAACCCAGACATCACGTGGGTGGTTCGCTCGGAAGTGAAGGACCAGGACAGGAAGCTCTACATGTGCATGGAAACGGTGGCGCGTCTGCTGCCGCTGGGCAGAAAGGGTCGCAGATAAAAATTAAACTGCGTTATTGACTGTATTTATTGTGCCGCATCCGAACCCTTTCTTGAACTTGAACAAACGTTACATCTGCAGGTATAAAAGTGGAACAATATGCCAAGCTGCATATCGAGATACTAATTATGTATGTGTTACTATTGGAAATTTTTATAGGAAATACGACAAAAAAGAGAGAGAACATTTACAGTTTGTGTATGAACGTGTTTGCTCCAGAAGATTCACTGCAAGTATTTGAATAGGGAAAAAGACCTTTCGAGGCAGCCCAAACACCATCGCCAAGCCGATCAGTGAGGTTGTCCAGTTTAGTGCGGATCCGGCGCGGATCCGCACGGATTCCGCGGAACTTGCGTCCGCACGGATCCGCATATCGGGAGAGGAGGGGAGGGCTTGAAATAAACGTTTTTCTACTTAGTAACACTACAGAAATAAGTTGGCATACACATATTTTTGATAAGAGGGCAGAAATGATCAATATTCTGTCATTTGTATATGCATGTCGAGCCGGGCGCGCGGCCCATAGCGTCCAGCCCCGGGCCGACATGCGTGTACATATGAGCTTCGTTCTCGAAAACTAGAAGTCGTATCAAAGTGCGGTAAAAAGCAATGTAAAGTTTAAGGTCTGGCGGAAAATCCGCTCGCTTCATGTAGATTGATAACTCGCCTCCTAGCATGAGAAAATAGGCGTTGAAAAAGTTATTGTGATCTCGGAAAACAGCCTATTTTGCGATGGGGCTTTGATCGTGTACAAGGCCTTTAATTTCAAAAAGGATTATACCTTTGTAATCCTTAAACTGTCACCTTCATTTCGATGTAAGGGTCGATGTACTTTGCTGGAGTTAAGTATCCAAGAAACCAATTTTAGTTTAGCACACGCTCCGCCCGGCCGGCGGCGCGCCGAGCGGCCGAAATGGCGGTCGCTAACCTCACCTTCGTATTACTGACGCGATATTTTCACAGCATTTTGATCATTGCTGCCCTCTTATCAAAAATATGTGTATGCCAACCTATTTCTGTAGTGTTACTGAGTAGAAAAACGTTTATTTCAAGCCCTCCCCTCCTCTCCCGCTATGCGGATCCGTGCGGACGCAAGTTCCGCGGAATCCGTGCGGATCCGCACTAAACTGGACAACCTCAGTGTCTCGGGCTAACGGAAGAGAGACAGTTAGTATGTGTGTATGACAAGCTCAAATACCCTGGAAAAACAAAGGTGCTTAGAACTATAAAAAATGCAATGGGTTTAGTGCCTTTTCAACGGCGTTAAAATTGCTAAAGGCTCTAATTTTTAGTACCTCAATAGCTCTTTTGTGCCTTTACAGGGGCATTAAACTTAAAATTTCTTTAGCACCCCTGCAAAGGTGCTTTTCAACACCTTTGATTTTCAGTGAGTTGTGGTTCAGAGGCACGTATCCCCAGTCTGGTCCACAGCGAGCCAACACTAACCGTTGCCATTATTTATTTGTTTATTTACTTTTTTGTCATTTTTTGACCGTATCCGGCCACATTCCAAGAAGAGCATTGTGCTGGAACTGGTGTCTCCTGCCCTCGCCTCGTCCTTCCCTGGGCCGAGTGCGCCGAGTGCGCGCGTACTCAAGGCCGCGCTCTGCGCCGATCTGCGTCGCTCCGCGTCACCCTCTTTGATGGAACTTGTTGAACGCGCGGGCCGAGGTGCCGCCGCCCCGACCTGCCCGGCCCGCCGATACAAGGAGCAGTTTGATTGGCAGGTTATCTGGCACTCTTTGGTTCCTTACGGAGAGAACTCTTCGTATTACGAGGAACTCGCTTCGTATCGTGCAAAGGATCTGGAGCAGCCACGTATTATAGTACTAACAGCTCACTACTTCTTAGTACGAACAATTTATTTTTGTTCTCCGAAAGATCCCAATTCTTTGTACCGTACGTTACACAGCTCTGTTCGCGTGGGTAGTAACTCGTGTGCCTGCTCGTTATCGGCTCGCGGGCACCTCGCGTTGAGGACCCGCAGGACCCCGGGGGAAGTCCCAAGAGGCTGGCTGCAATGATTTGGCGATGTTCTCAAGAGCGCCGCAGAGCCCGGCGGCCGGAGCCCCGGCAGGAGGGAAGCGCTCGCGCTGCCTGGCTCACACCGGCCGGGCCGCGGGCGAGGCGACGACGCGACCATTGGAGTTTGCTTACTCGGGAAATTCGCGACAGAGGCGCGCATGACTAGGCGAGGCGTCGTCCGGCGAACGAGTACACTGCCGCGGTGTGTTTGGGGCTATGGGCCGCATAGCGACCGTCCCCGTGCAAGTTTAGGGAAGGAACCAGCCAAACGCGGGAGAAACTGCGGATGGTTGATCTTTAAGTTGACGCTCGCCGTCGTGAGTACCTCGGCGAGGACGCGGCAAAAGCAAAAAGAATCAAATAACGCGAGGTGGTATTCTAGCTCCCGATCGGGTGTTCGACTGGCACAATCCGCTCCGCACTCTTTTGCCGGGCCGTTGCAGCCCAGCCGCGTGTTGCTGGTTGTTTGTTGCTTTAGGGCCGGATGTTGACTTGGCCCGCTGTGCGCGCTCATCAGGTCGGCGTGATACACATTGACATAAGATCGACTCCTGCCTCGTGCCTTGCTGTTGTGTTTTTCTTTTCTTTCCTGCTTTCCGGGGCGGGGTTACTTTTTCCATATTTTCCTTTTTAGCAGATGATACCTTAAGTATCTTTAGACTAAACATAAAACATAAATATATAAAACTTTAAGGTGTCAGCAGCTTGTACTCTCGAGAAGGGCAGAGAACCAAAGCGCATGACGTCACCCAGATGTATAAGGGGCGCGAGAAGTCGCCGGCCCCGCCCGCCGCCGCCGCCGCCGCCCGTGCCCACCAACAATACCCAACAATACTGAGCCAGGGATGCCGCCCGGCCT